TTATGGTATGTTATTATGTGGTAGTGGTAGGGGTAAAATAGACCCTATAACCGGTTGAGATAAACCGGAGGGTAGGTCGGGCACCCAGATATGTCTGGCAAGGTAGGTTGGGCACCCAGATATGCCTGGCAGGGGTAGGTTGCGCAGCCCGGTATGCCTGACATTGGTAGGTTGAGCACCCAGATATGCTTAGCAGGGTAGGTCAGACACCCAGATATGTCTAACAGTATGTTTATTGTATGGTATGTGGTATGATGGGGGAACTCACTAAGCTTTGTACTTATGATTTTCAGTTTTGGTTTCAGGTACTTCTTCTTCGAAAGGAAAGGAGCCGGCATTATTGCAGCACATCACATTATGATTTCCGCAAATGAGATCTTTGGGAGTTATTCTCTGATGGTGTTTTATCATGACATATTTTGACTATTGGCTTATTAGTTTTGATATGGGTTGACACTACGGATGTTTTCAGACAATTGGTTTTATAATTATTAAATTAAAAATGAAAATTTTGATCTTAATTTTGGGATTTTACACCCTACTAGAAGATAAACAACCATTAATCCATTTCCTCCATTTTAAGCCAAAATTCATTTGCTCCATTATAGAGTCTAGAAAGCCCCCATTTAGAGAATAAATAGTCTACTTTGAAGATAAGGATTTGCTTATTAATCTTCTTAGCCTACTAAACTACTTCATTTAAAATGAGAGGACAATCCATGATACTCCTACCCTTGATGTATGTGTATTGCTCCGGGCCAATCATCTTGTCAATTACTTTCTTGAGTCACAAGGTAAAGGTCTTAGAAAGGATTTTTTACATACATCCGATTAAGTTTAATGGTCGGTAATCGTTTAGGAATCAGATAGATGAAGGAGGCTTTCTAGATCTCCAATTTGGATTGGCTGCTTTGAATCTTTGAAGTGTTTTCAAAACAACGACATAGGTTTAATGCAATCGACATTATAGGCCCAAGAGTTCAAAACCAGATCAGTGAGCCCCTAGGAATTAAATAATTTGAATTTGAATGAGCTTGATCCGTAATCATGGAAATCGCTGATGGTTTCTTTCCATTTTTTATTCTATATATTGTCAGGGTTGAATCTGTCGTACCCTCGGCACTTGGATCGCACATGTACCTGACACTTATCTCCAAAACACCTAAAGTGCATCCATATTGCAATTGACAAAAAAATTATAGCAATAAGAACTGAAACAGTTGGCGTATATTTATCATCATTCCAAGTTGGGCAGCTCATCATCATGTATCGTAATTCAGAAAATGATGCTGATTCAGACATTAAAGTTTGATACCTGAGTCCTCATGATCATGACCTAAGAGAAACAAGTAGGCCATGCAAGTTCCTGAATATTGACTGATCAATGACTTAGAGAAAGTTTCTTGTTAGTATAGTGTGCTAAACTGTGCAAAGCCATGTGAAGCTTCACATGTGTAGGCCCTTCAAGAGGGAAACTAAACCCACTAAAATATTTCCCAAATCCATTTGGGTTGTTAGTTGCAACTTGCTAGTATATATATACACTATAAATATAAACGTTAAACCCGATACCTAGCTTCATCACATCACAACAGCTTCAATCTAATTTCCACTTCTATCAATCAATTCATTCTATCAAAAATATTATTTTACAAGTATGGGTGTTTTCAGGTTGCATTCATTAGTTGCAAATGCGAAACAACTTATTAAACTGAACAACAACAAGCACCTTCAGCGAGATGCTCCCAAAGGATATTTAGCTGTGTACGTTGGAGAAATTCAAAGGAAACGGTTTTTGGTTCCTTTATCGTTCTTGGATCAACCATTGTTTCAAGACTTGTTGCGTAGGTCAGAGGAGGAGTTCGGGTTCCACCATCCAATGGGAGGACTTACCATTCCTTGCCATGAAGAAGCTTTCGTCCATCTCACTACCCAGTTACGCACTATTTCATAGTTACTTTGAGGCCAAAGGATTGTCATCCTCTCAAGATTTTTGATGCACGGTTTTGTAGACAGTATATAGTGGCAATGTCCTGTATATATGTTCCAATTCACCATGTTCATATATACTGCAGCTTCTGAATGTCATAACTACGCATATGGAAGCATCGGATATCTTTCAAATATCTGTTAATTATTTAATTCAAATAAAATATAGAATATACAATTCTTTTCTACATTAATTTCAATAAAAACTACTTACTTTTATGCAGAACACTCTCTTATGCTCAAATAAATAGAATGTCGTAATTTAGTGTGATAATCGCATCTGGATATGGTCAGTTGGACATTATTGCCAAAGAGCAAATAAAAATGGGGGCAATTTTTTCTTAGTTGAATTGGAATTCATGGTGTTTGTCCCCAATTTAATCTCCCATGTTCTTGTATAATGTAACATGTAATAGCTCTTTTTTTAGCTTATCTCCCTACCATTGGCGGACGCAAAAAAAAAAAATTAACAAAAAAAAAAGAAAAAAAAACATTTCCGAAAGCAATATCAGTCACAAAATCAGTCACTAAGTGTTTTACCGATGGATTTACACTTATCGAACTGTATGAGAGATTTCCAAAAGATTCATGATTTCGATGTATTTGGTATGGATTTTTGATAGATTTCCAATAGATTTGTAATGAATTTACAAATTTTTAAACTCTTAGGATGAAATTGAATATTCGTCCGACATCCCTGGACACTAAGTGTGTTCGTCCGTGTCGCTAGGTACTTGCTAGTCATAATAAAATATCTATTCTTTGTTTTAAAAAAACTAAATATATATTTTTCTAAATACATTGTTTTAATAGAAAATACAATATCATTATAGAAAACATAAAACTAAGTTACATAAAATAAATTAAAAAAAATTACGAATATTTGTTTGGTACGATAGAACGAACGGAATGACTAAGACCCCGTTTGATACGTATCTTTCCAGATCTAAACATATATTTATGGTTGAATGGATCGAAAAGACTATTTGATTTGCACAAAAGAATGGATCTTTCCCGGTAAGATATGTCTTTCCCAGAAAGCCCCAAAATCATATATTTCTGGCTGAATGGGCTGGAAAGACAATTATACATCAAACCCCGCCTCTTTCTTTCTTTATTGGATTATTAATTTTTTTAAATAACTTTTTTTAAATTTATTTTTTACTGAATTATTACTTTTTTTCATCATTTAGTACAGTCAATCAGATGTACAATCAAACAGCATGGTTTCTTTTCCAGTTAGAAAACTTTCCCAGACAGCACTTTTCCAGACAGAAATTATCAAACGGACCTAAGTAAGATTTAAAACAAAATAATGGAATGAATCATTACATTCTGTTTCATGTTTGATCGATTTAGAAGAACATATTGAATCATTCAAAAATGTTGTTTTTTAACAAAAATACGAGCAAATTAAAACTGATAAATATATAGTGCAAAAAAGTGTTAATAATAAACTCTTAACTAAATAAAGATATTGTTTAATGAGTTGGTTATATGTTTTACAAATAATTAAAAAAGAAATCCTATGATATAAGAAGTTATATAAAATATAATGAAATCTTAATATATAATTATAATAAAATATATATTTAGAAAATAAAAAATTATTTAATTGAAGTTTTGAAAATTTTGAAAGATCAATTATTTTTAAAATTTTGAAAGATCAATATTATTGAAGATTATCTTATGTCCCTTCGGGGACATCCGATAAAACTGAAAAACATTATGTATCTTATACTATAATATAAAACATATTAGTCATATTTTGAATTTTAAGAGGTATAAGTTATAAAGTTTTTTTTTTATAAAAATCAATTATGCATAAATAATTCATTAATACTTGCCAAAATTTTGTAGACTTTAATTAAGAAAAGTAATTAAGAAATTCAATTTGGAGCAAAAAAAATTAAAAATATTTAATTCATGTACGTAACTTTATCTAAAATACATTTCTTAATTTAGACACCAATATTAATTAATTTATATCAATAATATAAACAGACAATATAAATACAATGTATAAACATAAATATTTTTTTTAAAAGTGATAATTTTTTATTACATAACAACTAATAATGAACTCTAATAATTATTTCCGCGTAAGAAACTGTTATCCAAAAAATCTATTTATCGTTGTTGCTTTACGTGAAAAGACATATATTATGAATAAAAGCAATTTGTAGTTATAAATACATATATTATTCTATTTTAAAAATAAATAAATAAATAAATAAAAAGAACCCCATTTACCTCATGGGATGATAATTAACCCATTTGTATTTGTTGGTGGGTAAGGTTGGGGAGTGATGTCAAAATTATCACAGTCCACCTAACCGTTACTTAGGATTTATGATTCTGCTTCATATTTTTTTGCCAATTACTTGTCATGCTATTTAAAAATAATAATAATAATAATTAATATTAAAAGTTAAAGATTCAAACAAATTATTTTTATAAAACCTAAAATTTCAATAAACTAGAAAATAAAATTACAACACACCAAAAAAACATAGAATTTAAAATTACAATAGTGTAAATTAGAAGGTGAATTAAGTCGATGATTTTGGCTTTACATAAAAGTAGGTGATAGAATTTAAAATTACAATAGTGTAAATTAGAAGGTGAATTAGGTCGATCATTTTTGCTTTAGATAAAAGTAGGTGATGAAAACAAGATTAGGTTTGTGTTTCTTTTGATATTTTTTGGAATTTTTGAGTTTGAAGGGGAAACCATTTTCACAAAAATAAGAGCTCTTGAGTGAAAAAGTGAAGATAATATGGTTTAAAATGAGGTAGTGGGTAGTATTTATATAGGGTTAAAAAGAAGATAGATTTTGAAAAACAATTGAAAAATCAATCATAAAAAAACTAAAAAATCGTTAACAAAATTCAAAAATTCGAATACCTCACACTCTATCTCATCGGCTACAATGCACTGAGGTGTGGGAGTTGCCACACGAAGCTCGGCTTGCCGAGTGCGTGGCCTGATAAGTAACAACTCATCAAAACTTTGTACTTATTTTGTCTTTTTATAGAGTATGGTAAGTAAAGTTGTACAAAAAGTGAAACAACTCGAATCAAGTACATATGATCTAAAGTTTAGATTGTTTCATGATCCAAAAAACTGCTCATAAACTCAAAACCTAAAACATTATGCAGATGAAATACATAAAAAACAACAGAGGTATGGCATTGGTATAAACTATATCCCAAAAAAAAAATTGTAAAACTATATTTCTGTTTCCTCACCGTTTTCCCCTCTACCTGTATCACACTCTGTGCAACCGCAATAAAAGAATCTAAAAATCTTTTTTAAACACCTAATCATCAGGGTCCATTTCAACATCATCTTCCAAAGAAGGCGAATCATTCACCTTGCTTTCATTTTCAGAATTCATTTCCTCTTCATCTACTTCATCATCATCAGGCTGTTCATTCTCACTTTCCTGTAATCTGGATTTAGTATAGCTGTCTTCAATCCACTTAGGACACGTATTTTTCCCAGGTTTTTTGGAAATAGTACAAGAACATTCCGGAAGCGGGTGAGAGAGGAATGACATTGGCTTTGAGTGAAGGAGCTGTCGTTCTAGTCCTTCCTCCGCCAGGCTGTCATTTAGATGTTTTCGTGCTGCTAATGTCCAGCTTCTCTTCGGAAAATAAAGATGGTCTTGTGTAGTGTTCAACAGCTTTGCAAGAAACATCCTGCCCGTTTTAATAAGAAACCTATATTAGGATATGAAAGGGGTGTAAAGTGTAAAAACACCACGGAATGGAATCTCGGATTCCAATTCCGTTGGAATCCATGAAAAAATGTTTACTCACCTGTCGGGTCGATAAGTTCTTGAAGACGCCATCTCATAAAGCCGATGACCCATGACCAAACTTGAAAAATCAGGGGACCCACTGCCATCGTTATGAAACCCGGGAAAAAAAGCATCGGATTCAACTGATACAATATAATCAAGGGCATCCCAAAGCAATCTATGAGCTTTATCTCTTAAATCAATTGGTGAAGGGTCTGGCTCGGAATCTTTTTCTGCAATCCAACCATACCATCCTTCTTTCTCATGTTGATAGATAGGGCGGTCTGGGGGTGGTGGAAGGGGTCGGGGACGAGGGCCCGCCTTATTCCATTCCTGTGTTGAATCCTTGATGGTTTTTTTCGGAATGGAATTGAGAGAGTTGGAAGGAATTGGGGTTTCCTTTCCTAATAAAGTGTTTAGTTCGTGTTTATGACATAAATTAGAACGGTCAACTAAGTTTGTGTACATGGCTCGGAGAGGAATCATGACCCGTTGACCACCGAATGTTTCAGAGCCTGCCAAGTATATTCTTGTTGTTGGTGGGTATCCCATGGCTCGTAGAAGAAGCCCCACCTGAAAAATTAATGATATATAAATTGAACATTGAATTACAATAATGGTCCCTGAGTTCTGTAATTTTTTGCAACTTTGGGAATTAAACTTCCAATTTTTGCAATTCTGGTCCTAATTCGGTAGTTTCATTTCAATTTTGGGGCCCTTTTTCAGACGGTGTCAAGATTCACATGTGAAGTTGTGCACACGCGTTGCACATGAGGGTAGTTTCGTCATTTACCTTTATATTATTATTAAATAAAAGAAACCATAAATCATAGTTGATTATAATTAATATTCAAGTTAAATAACAAAAAAACAAAAAAGTGTCGATTTTGAGACCTTTACTTGATAAAAATAATAATATAAAGGGAAATGACAAAACTACCCTCATGTGCAACACACATGCTGACATGCACAAGTTAACACCGTCTGAAAAAGGTACAAAACTGAAATGAAACTATCCAACTAGGACCATAAATGCAAAATTGGAAGTTTAGGTCCCAAATTTGCAAAAATTTAAGAAACTCAGGGACCATTCTTGTAATTTACACTAGAATACATAAATACCCTTATGAATATGAATGGATATACCTCTTCAGGCATGAGAGGACACGAGCCATTTAGTTTTCGAATAAATGAGTCAACGCTGACATCATCACGGATCATTTTCTGTTTGACCATTTGTGCCCTTCTATACTGAATAAGTTCGGTATGGATATCCTATACAAAGATAGATGACATCAGCATTTTAATTGTAAAATTAAAACTGAAATTAAATACAAATGCTGACCTGGAAAAGCTCAGCACACCCCTGATAAGCCAAGCTATCTCTTACTAAACCAGGATGATATGCAAGATAAGGTTGCCCTGAAGCGCGTAACCTGCAAAGAATATGTTTTGCTCAAATACTGGTGTAATTAGGAGTGGATTAGTGGAAAAAATAAATAAATAAATAAATAAAAGGGCAAATTGTGGAGAATAGCGACATACTTTTCTCTTGCTACCAATATGGGCAATGTACTTTATCTTTTACCCATAAAGGGAAATGACTAAACTACCCTCATGTATATTGCTTATATTAGTAAATGCACTTACTTTTTACAGTCAATATGGGCATTGTGCTTTATTTGTTACAGATTGCTATTTTCAGTAAGGAAATGCAAGTATGTTGTTATTATGGAAAAATAAATGTAAGTATATTGTTTCTATGGGTAAAAAATAAAGTACATTGGCTATATTAGTAAAAAGAGTAGAGTATGTTGCAATTTCCCAAAACAAACAGAAAGATAATTTAATACTTGCTAAATTTGATATTATATAAAAGTAAGATAATTTTTAACCTTTGCACGATGAGATGTGCAAGTGCTAGAATTTCAGGGCGGAAATGAAGTGCGTGGAATGCTACCCGACATCTGAGCCTTTGATATTCAACAAATTTAGATGAGAGAATAGGCTGATAAGAAAATAGATATTAGAACTTAAATAAATATGATTGGACAAGTTATTTTAAATAAAGAATCCTCCAAAAATATGATTAGAGGAATACCTGTAGACAACCTCCATCCATAACCACTAATCCTATAACCTTTGACTTTTTTAACTCTGGCAACACTTCTTTAATGTAATAATCAGGAGAAGCTGATGTTTTGGGCTTGAAAGTAGGAAATTCTTTGCGTTTCTTGCCTCCTTAAGCTTAGTAGGCAGATTTTTCACAATGATTACATCGTTATTAAGAGAGGTTATGAATTGTTCTTCGTTATAGAGGTATGAAAAGCTTTTAAACTCAGAACTGCAGGGAATTGTAAAGGAAATAAATAAATGATTAAGAGTGACAAAATAAAATTAAAAAGATTACTGGCTAATTTATGTTTCCAAGACTAACAAACATACCTGATGCCTTTTGAACTTGTACTTTCTTGAATCTCTGGGATGACCAGAGTAGCATTGAGAAGCCTGGATATGGCAACAAGATCACAAATCTAGAAAAATGTCAAAGCCCATATAAGCTTTAAGAAAAAGATTATGAAAATACTAAAGAAAAACTCAGATCCAAACATGAACATACCGAAGATCTGATTTTCTCAAATTCACCAAAAATTTTGGCATATATGAAGCCATTACTTTGTTCAACTGGAACTGCAATGTGAAAAACAAGTTTTAGTAACAGGGAGGAGACAAGTACATGTGGTAAGACAATATAGAGGCATTATCATTACCAGGATATTTACTTCTAGGGTTTGCATATGGCTGCAAAACCTCTAAAGACTTGACCTTTTTCCACAACTTTTTAGATCTGACACTCTGTAGTAACCAAAAAAAACATATAAGGTATGGAAGTACAAATACCATTTAATATCATGTCATGCACATATGTAGAATTACAGATTAAAGTACAAGTTTTACCTGTTTCCCCACAACATCTATATTCAGATCCTCAATAAATCGGGTCATCACACTGTATTGTACTAGCTCCACACTTGTATTTGCAAGAAACATGTGCACTAACAAAGACAAAAATGACAAAACCAGGCCCCCAAGTGCCACCCATTTGATTTTGGATCTGAACATCATAAGGATCTATAACACTTCAGAAGGTTGTTACTTGTTAGTTGTTACAGTTGCACCAGAAGATGAATCCAGTGTCGCCAAATCATGGCTGCAAATACAGAAAGAGGTATAAAAAATAAGTAAAAAATGTTTGGCTCTGAGTAATATGATCCAACTTCAAGCCACATTCTTTTGTCAGGTCATTTTATCAAGTAACATGTGTGCTACAAGACCCCACACGCAAACATCCTCCAATAACATTACACCAGCTACTATGGCCAAACAAATTGGTTTCAAACCGACAAGAGTTTCCATTTCTACTTTTCCAGAAACACACTGTATATGATCTGAAATTGATTCGCTATTGGATTTTGGTCAACATGAATCAGGATCATCCATGAAACTGGCTGTTAATTACAGTTTCAATTTGGGATGAGGTAGTAGAAAACTACCCGCTCAAACCAATTCAGTAACAGAGGTAAGAATACTTCAAATGCCTAATTAGCTTGAATTTTTTAAGCGCCAACATGGCATTGTCATAACAACTTCCCGAGGTCACTTGTTGATGTAGATTCAAACTTAATCAAAGAAATCACAAAATCTACGATGAAAGAAACTTTAGTTCAATCAATGTAAAAGCTCGACTATACAAGTTGTGAATACAAATTAAAACACAAAATAAGAACTGATTCGACAATTTTACAATTGATTACCGTTTCCAAACTACCAAGTATCTGATCGATAAGCAGATCTGAAATTTTGTATCACACAGATGCAGCGCGTGTTTGTGATTGTGTTTGAACCTGAAATTCGGAGAAACAGATGGATTTTTTGTCGGAATTTACGGCGAGATGGACGGATGATGAGTCGGTTGTCGAATGCTGCGGTGGTCGGAGAGTGACAGATGAAGCCGAGGAGTTTTTGTGTGTGGGAGGGGAGGGACTAGGGAGGGGGTGATTGTTAAGAAAGGGAAAAAGGGAGGGAGTGAATTGATGTTGCGTGTAAAATTGGATAGCGACCTCGTTAACCCAAATCTATCTTATACTATAATTTATTCTTAATTACAATTACGGAAAATTCACAACACTGTTGACTTTTTCTTTCCGTGTCTTCTTGTGTCTAAAACAAAACATTATACTTTTGTACAAATTACCAAGAATAATTAATTTCATTAATGTAAACAATGTAATTTGTTTTATTCTACGATCGTAATCGTAATATATAAGTTGATTTGACCAAAGTTGTGCAGGTCGAGAAAATTACAAAAAAAAAAAAAAAAAAAAAAAAAAAAAAAAAAAACTAATTACTTTGCAAATTTAACCAAAAAAATAACAATTACAAAAATAGCTATTGATTTCACATATGAGAACGATCCATCTGTGAATTTACCATTCTATCTGTGAAGATACAAGTGTTTAAAGAAGATTTGTGTCTTAAACACTTGTACATTCGCAGATGGACCAGTTCATTTGCGATTTTGGGTTTTCATCTGTGATTTCCCTTAATTTTTTGTATAAAAACTTTTTTTTTTCATTTTCACTTTTCAACTTGCAAAAACTTTCTCTCTAGGCAATTTCCCTACGTTTTTGTTCTGATTTCTTCAACGTAGTCAAACCCATTAATTTAATAGTCAAAATTAAAAAAAAAAAAAAACAAAAAACAAAAAACAAAAAACAAAATATACCATAAAATCGCAGATCAAACGGAGAGGAAATTGCAGATGAATTTTGTGACAACTCAAAGTTCATTCCGTTACATTACCCCGTTTCCGTTGACGGAATATTCCACGTTATAAAAGTTCCGTTTAATTTGAGGTCGTAAAATAAATAAATGTTCTATTTATTTATGTTCTATGTCGATATTCGTCGTAATAAAATAAAGTAAAAGCATGTAAATTACATTTCCATATTAATTTGGAAAAAGTTAATTATATTGCAACCACTAAATCGGGTGCGACCAAAAAGCCCCGTTTAACGGCAGTATCGGGTAGATTTCCACTAAGCCCCAACACCGGGAGAGTAAACTTCATTTTCACTTTTTTCACCCTCTCTCTATACTCTCTCTCTCTCTCTCTACAACTTATTTTCAAGCCAAAAATCGTCTGTTTCAAACCCCAAACGAGTAGGTAAACTATCCTAACTTGTTGTATAGCCTATCTAGCATGCAAATTCGTGTTTAAAACATAAAATAGGGACAAAATCATGTGTTCACGGCCCAAGAACACTCTTGGACCGTGAACGCCATTTAATGGGGTTTTTAAGCCCCAAAACCCCTCCAAATTGTCCCTAAGGCTTAGATATGACTTGTAGGCTTATGGAATCGGACTTAGGACACCTTAAACTAGCATTTTGGGGAGTAAACATGAGTTTACTGCCCAAGATTGTGATTGGGCCGTAAACTCCCCTTTCATGGGGAGTAAACTCAATTTCTAGTGTTAGAAATGCCCTCAACACCCCCTATGGCCTTGGAAGAATATTTTGAAGTAATACCATTGTTGTAAAAGCCTTAAGCTTCAATAAAACTAAGGGAGTAGGAGTTCACGGCTGTGAACTCCCATAGAGGTGGTTCATGGGCCGTAAACTCCCAATAAGTGCCCAAATGGTGCCCAAACTCCTTCATTTGACTTAGAAAAATGCATAGGATTTATTCTCTATCACTTAAGCCCTTAAAACACCCAAGGTATATGTCCATGGGAGCTTACGGCCGTAAACTCCCTTGGTTGGGGCCGTAAACTCCCATTTGGTCCATTTAAGAGCCTTAAATCCATTCATACATTTTATATTTGGACCTAGCAAAACTCCACGATTGATATAAGGCCTTTAAGCATCCTAGAACACCTTCACCATGAATTTACGGCCGTAAACTCATGGGGAGTTGTCCCAGGGCCATGAACTATGTATATAGAGTTTACTCTTGAAGAGTAAACTCCATTCCTAAGCCATTCACACCCTTAAATGTTACCCGGGACACCCCTAGCACTTAATCAAAGTGTTTTCCGCACTTTAGGATGCGTATACTTGTTTAATTGGTATTATATGTACTAATTGTATGTAAACATATGTTATCATATGTTAATAGGTCACTAAGTGTGTCCAAGTCTTTACTTGACACCGAGCACCCAACCAGCGCCTTCGTCGGATCCACTTACATCAGGTGAGTTCATACCCATGAATGAACCTTTTAAACGTTTTTACATGTTTTATGGGGGGATACAAGTTAGACATGCCAGTTATCATATCAATCACATGTGATTGATAACCCGCATGCACAAGGATTTACTACACTGTAAACTGTTTTACCAAGTAAGATACTATACATGATTTTCTAAAATGTTTTCACTTGTTCCAAAACTCTCACTTATACTGTTTTATCAAAGTTTCATTTTAAGTTGGTTTATGAAAAGTTTCCAAAGAATCTCTAAAGGTTTTCAAACTTATTTTACCAAAGAATACCAAGTTGTGATTTTCTTAAGTATAAAGGTTTTTCCAAGGTTTTCATCAAAGTTTTCTTTCATGTCGTCTACTCTTACTTGTTAAATACCGCTGCTTCACTTTTACTTAGTTTAAACTCCTACTTGATAACGCTTTTGCTTCATTATACGCCCCTACTTATTCACGCTTATACTTCACGATTCGGTTATTCAACATGACTCGCTTATACTTTACGATTCAGTTATTCCACACGACTCGCTTATACTTCACGATTCGGTTATTCCACATGACTCGCTTATACTTCACGATTCGGTTATTCCACACGTGTAACATCCCGGAATCGCAAGAGTAGAGTTGAAGGGCTGAAAGTGTAAGTTTTAGAGGATGACTCGGCGAGTCCATGGATGACTCGGCGAGTCAGGTCGCGGTCATGGTCGCGTGTCAAGTGGCCTACTCGGCGAGTCCCTAGATGGACTCGGCGAGTAGGTGCTGTATGGAGAAAACCCTAATTTTCGGGGTTGAGCCCTATATAAAGAGCATTATACTCCTCTACAGCCTCCCTTATTCCCCCCTTGAGTTCCAGAAACCCTAAATTCGTGGAGAGATCATTGTGGAGCAAATTAGAGCTTGGAGAGGTGTTGTTTGAAGAGATCTTTAAGGAGAAGTGGCTTGGATCAAAGGGCTTTGCTTGGATTCGAGTTTGGCTGCTATTGAGGCATCTTTTGGAGGTAATATCTTCGTCCTTAGGCTGTGCATTCCTAGTTTCATCATTTTGGGGTTTGTGGGGAGTATGTCTTGGAATGTTTTGGAGTTTGGAGGATAGATCTGAGGTTGCTACCTCAGATCTGGAATATTGAAGGCCTAGAGTGCATTAAAGTTCCTGTTTTGAGTGCTTAGTGAAGCCACCATGTCCCAAACCTTGGTTTTAAGGTGAATATGGCTTAGATCTCGTTAGATTCACGTAAAGTTTGCCACTTTACGTGATGGATGGATTGTAGGAGGTTGGATCTATGTTTTGGATCAATTGCATGGCCTGAGATGCTTCTGTATGGATTCAGAACGGTGGTACTCGACGAGTCACATGGGTGGACTCGACGAGTTGCTTGAAGATGGCCTGGGACTCGACGAGTTGGAAGAACAACTCGGCGAGTAGGTTGAAGATGGCCTTGGACTCGACGAGTCCATTTGGACTCGGCGAGTCTTGTCGAGGAAGTCCCAATATTTCTGGTTGAGTCGATGAATCGGTGAGTCAAGGGATGACTCGGTGAGTTGGGTGCGAGTGGACTCAGAGTTGTTGGACTCGACGAGTCTTGGGGTGACTCGGCGAGTTGGGTCGCTAATTGAGGGAAGTTCTGAGCATAAGGACTCGGCGAGTCATCGGGACTCGGCGAGTAGGGTCAGTCAGGGGTTGACTTTGACTCGTCCAAGGTTGACCAGTTGTCTTCCAGGGTATTTATTGAGTTGTATGTTTTGATGTTTAGTGGAGGAGTTCGTGCCAGAGTTCGGAGCAGCGGGATCTTATCTTTTCAGCCGGCAGTTTCGAGGTGAGTTATCCTCACTATATCAACAGGGTCTAAGGCACCAAGGCCGGCCCTTTATTGTATTGAGATTCGGTTATGGTTATTATGTTATTGTTTGATGTGTCTGCATCCTGGTAGCTAGGATGGTACATGCTAGGAGGCCTTTAAGGTCAGTTTCCCGATATACAGAGTGATGCTATGCTAGTGACCGGTTAGGTCGGTAACCCGGTTAGGGTAATGATATGCTATGTGATCTGCTTGCTCGGTTTGTTGACTATGACTGTTATATGAATGTATGTTTTGTGCACATGGTTGTTTGGACTGGAGATGGGTTGAGGCGGGTCCTGCTTTGTGCTGTAGGCCAAGATACCCAGGGCGGACCGGTTGTTCCGAAGGCCCAGCGAGCGGTCCGGATAGGCTGTAGGCCCCACGAGGGCGGACCAGACGTGCCGAGGCTCGGAGAGTGGACCAGGCCGACTGAAGGCCCGATGCGGGCGGACCAGTCACACTGTAGACTCAGAGAGTGGACCAGGTGGGTTGAAGGCCCGATGCGGGCGGACCAACCCCACTGTAGACTCGAAGGACATGACTAGACCGGAGGATGGATCCGTTGGACTGAAGGCCCGATACGGCGGACCAGTCACACGGTAGACCCGATATGCATGGTTGTTCTATGTTCTGTTATGTTATGTATGTTTTATATGTTTTGGACCGGAAGGTCGTAGCCTGGAAGGGCGTATACGTGGTTGGTATTTTGGGGGTATCTCACTAAGCTTTCGGGCTTACAGTTGTGGTTTAATGTTTTTCAGGTTCTTCAGGAGACTGTGGCAAGGCGAAGGCGCGATCGTACCGCTCCTCATGATTTTGTAGCAATGTGATTCTGGGAATACTCTAATGACTTGTATTGAAAACCTTTTTGTAAACATTTTAATGAAAATCAGGTTGTTTTGAAAAATTTAAATTGGTTGTATTTTTCGGATGTTACAAGTTGGTATCAGAGCCTTGGTTTGAGTGAATTGGAGGAACACTTGTGTGACTCCAGTCTCAAATCGAGGAGAGTTTTCAAAAAGAGAATTTAAAATGGTTTTCAAAATAAGTAAAGGAGGACGCGGAGGTACGATCAGCCGGAGCCAGTAAGTAACCCCAAAATACCATACATGACAATTGTTTTATTGAGCTTTA